GGAATTACGAGATAATATGAATCTTTCTATCAATTTTCTGAAGACCTCTCACATAAGCTCTGTCTACATCATATAGCTATGCACATATAGAGAGAGGTTATATAAATAAGACAGCATACGTCTTATAATCCCAAACAAGGCTAGAAGTGACTTATAATTTGTATTCCCCCAAGAACTAGCATAATGCTTTGCACACAGTAGGTATCTAGTAAATGCCTGGTACACTACAAAAGACAAGGGGCACTAAAACTCATAACTCCTTGGAAGTTACAAAGAGTCAGGAAGGATCATGCAAGAAAATATGGAAATCCTAGGAGCTGTCAGAGAGAAGTATAGGAGTATTTAGGAGTTATTTCATTACCTGACTTCTCCGTCAAAGTCCTAAAAATAACAGTACAAAATAGAGGTGGACAACTGTTTTGATCATCTGGTCTAAAAAAATCTGAATGGATCTCACCCTCATCACCAATTACAGCTACATAATCACAGGTCTACTGCTCATGGCCTGGTTATGGATTTCTTAATCTGAGGAATCTTACTTTTCCAAGTACCTATTGACATACAGTCCTTCTCAAATTACTGAAATACCCACAGTCTCCTCCAGTGAGTTTTGTTTTTATTTAAAGAAAAGAGGCCCCATGCTTTTCATTCCTGAGACTTTTGCTCAACACCAGATCTATAAGCATCTCTTCCTGGGATAACAAAGTACACTAAGAAATACAGGCCAAAAGGGAGGCAGGAGAGGTGGCAGCCTGTAGACCTTACTGCAAACTCTGCCATTTCCCTGGAGATCTTTAACAATACCTTACTCTATTTTATATGCTCCTGTCAAGAATCCTCATAGAAGCAACTGTTTCCAAGGCAGGCTAGCAAGCATGCAAACCAATTTCCTGAAATGGAGCAGGGTTGGTCTGGCAGGTGGCGGAGACTCATAGTTTGAATTGCATCCTACCCAAAAGCCACTCACTTTTTTCTCCTTCTTGCCAAAACTGAGGCCAGGGGTCCCCTTCTCCACAACTATGCATGAGATGCCTTTGGGGCCTGGTCCTCCCGTCCTGCACATGACCACGTAGATGTCTGATTCACCACCACCACTGATGAAGGCCTGTGGGATTGCAGAGGGGAGAGCACGGGGACCACGGAATGCGCAAGTTCTCAGAGCCCAACATCTGGGAGAACCCCTGGGGTCTCACCACCACTGATGAAGGCCTGTGGGATTGCAGAGGGGAGAGCACGGGGACCACGGAATGCGAAAGTTCTCAGAGCCCAACATCTGGGAGAACCACTGGGGTCCTCCCAATAACAGGACCCTGACAGGTATAATGGTGCAAAGAAACCGAGGAGGGGTAAAGGTATTTGCAGTGATGGATGAGTCAGGGATTTAGTTAATGAAAGTATAAAAAGGACAGAGAAAAATGAATGAAATGAAATTATCTGGAATCAATTCAATCAAGAAAAGACAGAAACAGTGAAAGTGAATAAAAGAACTGGGTTGGAAGTTCTCTCGCCAACACCCAAACATCCTATGGCAATGTTATCTCGTAGGCGTGAAGGAACCAGGGGAGGTCAGGAGGAAGGTGGGAAAAACCTCCGAGTTGCTCTGGGGGGACAGCATGCTAGTACCTTGGAGCCATTGAGGATGTAATGATCTCCTTGTCGTTTAGCTGAGGTCAAAAGGGATGCAGCATCACTCCCACTTCCTGAGGCGGGGGTCAAAAGGGAGCAGAGGGGGATAAGAAAGCCAGTGACATCAGGGGAGCCCGTATGCTTCCATCTCCCAGGAGATCTTTCTCTGAGAAAAACAGCTCAGAGTGTGCCGCTTTAAAATCCAGACGGCCAAAGGATCTCTGTACTTGATGAAAAGTGCCTGCACCAATCAGACTGCTGTCCATCTCCGAACATGCCAGCTTGCAGAGAACGTCGTGTGAGGAGATTCTGGTCTGCAGCCTGGAGGGCCCTGACCACAGGCCTCTAGATCCTGTGGCATCAGGTCATGGTATCATTCCATGACCAAACTGCTTGGCAGACAGCAGTTACATGTGTCGACAGGCTAGACGGAGTGCTGGGCGACTCCACATGAATGAGCCCTCTCTCCCTGCAGCACAGCAAACCCACCTGGTTCAGTGAGGCAGTAGGAAGCAAACTTCTCCATGGTACAGAGTGGTGGGCAAAACTTGTGCCTCTGTTTCTCATCTCCAAAGCTATCAATTATCCAGGCACACATGCTGACAGGTACACCAAGACAACATTGACAGAAATAAAGATGGAGAAAAAAAAGGGATATTGGGGATGGGGAAAGAGAACAAGGGGCAGTGAAGCAGAAGAGAGGGTGGAAGGGAAAAGTCATGGTTGAGAAGATTCAACCTTAAAGGACTGGATTAAAACACATTACTTGAATATGTTCTACCCAGAGATAACCAGGACCAAGGTATCTCTCACCTGGATATTCATACTACTTCTAGTTAGGTTAAATGAGCCCTAAAAATTACTAATATGTAGTTTCTATTACTTTCTCTAATTACTGAAGGTTTCATCTTTGGATTGAGGAAAGGGGTAACAGGATCGCGACCCATCTATGGGAGAAGGCTGCTGGTACCAGCTCAATCTAGGATTTGGGAGAAGGCTGGCAGACCTGATTTTCTAAGCAATGTACAAGACAACGGACTCAAGTCCAACAGGCAGCAGCAGACCTAGCATGCACTTTTAACAGTCTAGTGCCTCACAGGCACTCAGCCAAAAAGATCCACCTGTTTCCTATGAATCTGGAATTTCCCAGTCAGCCCGTGTGAGCACGTCGTCGGGCTTTCCAAGCCTAGACACTCACTTGTGGATGCTTATATAGGCTGTGGTGCTGGTGCAGCCTGTAGCCAAGGCTTCAAAGATGACAGAGGTATCAAGCCGCGACAGTCCAGACCCACCCACATCTGTGCGTACATAGACCCCTCCAAACCCGAGCTGGGCTGCCTTCCGCATCACATTCACTGGGAACAGCTCCTAAGTACAAAAGAGAGCAGGGTTATCAGTAACTGATTCAGAGACAGACTTCTCTTTAGAGGGTGCACTGAGGGGATTAGGATGTTTGCATTTGGGAGCGTGCAGGGATACTCTTAGTATGCCTGTTTGTAATCTCATAGTGGTATCAGTTAACATATATTCTATAAGAACTTTTTCTGGCATTAAAAAGTTTTTTATTATTATCTATAAAACTGCCTTGGTTTTAAGAATATCCAAACCTTTATTTAAATAGGAGCGTGCAGGGATACTCTTAGTATGCCTGTTTGTAATCTCATAGTGGTATCAGTTAACATGTATTCTATAAGAACTTTTTCTGGCATTAAGAAGTTTTTTATTATTATCTATAAAACTGCCTTGGTTTTAAGAATATCCAAACCTTTATTTAAATAAAAAAAAAAAGATATCTACAAGATGATCGGATGCTCTCTATGAAAGGAATCACCCATTACCACTTTCAGTAAGAGTTGGTAAGTGGAGAACAGACACTGAACAATTAGGATCATAAGGAGATGAAGATAAGGGTCACTGCATGAGGCATTTGCTGGAACATCTGGCCAAAAGGAAAACTCTTACCTTTTGGTCCCACTCTGCCATATTTGGAGCCATCTCTCGGGCAGCAAAATCGAAGGCCACTTTCTGAAATTCTTTTTGCTCTTCATTTAGTCCCATGGAAGCTGTGGGCAGGATTACGTACATTCAGTTCTAGGACAGAGGTCAGCGAATAGTACTGCCAGGAGGAAGCACCCTGAGGCTGACTCTGGTAGACCTACTGTAGTATTTCCCATACACAGTACAGTCTTTAACTGCAAGAGAACGGCATCATCCATGATTAATCAGTTTCTCAGATGGGGAAGGGATAGTTCTAACACACACTCAGATCGACCTAGTCTGTGGCGACTTCCCAGACCTCTCTTACCCTGGCCACTCAGTAAAATACAGTTGCAGCCCTAGACAGGTAGACGCCACAGTGCTGAAACTTTGGTTATTATGAGTGACACTAAAGAGCACTAAAGGGAGACTACGGAGCCACACTTGACAATGATTTACTTCAGGGCCTGCTAGTGTTGCACAGTATTTCCTATGGAACACAAGTCAGGTGGCAGAGTCTGTTCTTCTGGGGCAAACCCGGACATCGGTAATGGTTGGCTGTGTGAGCCAGGAGAAAGCACTTGTCTGTAATCAGTACTCTCATTACAATAGGAAACTCAGAAATGCATAGTTGTGAGCATTAAAGACTAGGCTACCTTGAAAAGCCCAGAGCTGAAAACCTATGTTGGGTATTCCTCTCAGTGACATGGTTAGGGATAAACAATTAATGGTTTCCTGGCTGGGGTCAGGTCATTCACTCACTGAGTCTTGCACAAGCACTGTTGCACTGCTTACCGGCCAGCCACCAAAACAAAAACAAGTGTCGCTGTAAATTACATCTCAAAGATCCTTCCCAAAAGAATATTTATTGAGTGTCTACTAGGCAGCACTGCGGGGGTTACAAAGATGAATATGGTCCATTCGCACAGATGACATAAAAGTAGTAACGCAAACATTTTATTGCATAGAGTGAAGTGCTATGGAATTTCAACCCTAGCAAGAGCTCAACAAATGTTAACAATTCTCCCCTCTTCCTCTGATAGAGTAAATGACTACTTCCTAAAACAAGTAGTTCAAGGAACCAAAGGTGTAAGAAATTGATCTGAATTGTATTTTACGTAAATAAAAGGGAATACGTTTATGCAAATCATAGGTATAAGAAAACATGACATAATTACACATTCTTTTCAGGCAGATAACAAAGTTTGTTTTAGAAAGGGAATGATTAATAAAAGGAGAGCATTGCTTGGAGAAAAAAACATGAAAAGGTCAAGTTAAACAGTAAGTTATTTTAAAGTAAGTTAAAAAGTAAACACAGGAAAGCATAGTTACTAAGTAAAAATACCTCTAAGTTTCCAGAAAAAAATACACTATAAAGACAAAAGAACACCAGACTTCATGAACTTTGTGAGTTACTGGCAGAGTTCAAGACGCCAACACACAAGAGCTCAACTCCTGCAACACACAATAAAAAGGAAGAGCTAATGAAAAGCAGCCCAAATGAGATGAGGAAAGCCTTTATACAGAGCAAGCTTTTCCTGTATGGCAAGTGTAAGCAAGAAGCAAAAAACCAAACCAAACAACAAAAAACCTCTAAGTAATTCCTTTTCTTCTTTGATATCAACCATAGTAACCTTGTTTACCAAATTCTAAGTCCCAGAGCAGGGCAGCACCTCTCAACGGAGTTTTAGGACACTAAGAAAAGAATATTCTTTATACCTTAGTGTACTTTACAGACCTGGTGTCAATGTGAGGGACTCATCCTGCTATAAAGAAAACTGTCATTTATTTAAGTAAGAAATTTCAGAAGGAAAAAAGTGGTTAGATGCTTGGCAGAGGTCACAAGCTGCCTGGGTACGCTTTAGTCCCCCTGGGTCTCCACTCTCTCTGCTACTCCTGCAAACGATTTGCCGAGTGTCTCAAGACACTCAGGTTTGCAGTGTCTGGCAGAGTTTCCCACTTGGGGCAGTCGTTATTTTTCCTGCGGGAGTTGCAACAGTAGCAGTGTTTTGTAGCTTTAGATGTTAAGTAATAAAACCTGTGCATGTGAGCAAACCTTGCACTGACCGGAGACTGCCGCTTGCACGCGTCTGTCACTGCCAGCACTAGCGTTTCACCTTCTCACGGCCGTTATGGCCTAGCGTTATGATTGTAAGACCACCCGCCCACCCAAGCACAGAAGCCGCAAGCTACCCAGCGGACCCCGAGGCGGCGGCCCGTCGCGGAGGCCCGA